ACTATTAAGAATATCTTCGACTGTTGAGTTTATAGAGAATGTTTTTAATAAGGCTTGATCAAGAGAGGTGACATTCATTGGTGAAGCTCCTTCAAAATATGATTCAACTTTAGTTATACATGTTTGATTATAAAAACATCGAAGATCAGATTGAAGTAATGATTCAACAATATAACATCCTATTTGCATACCTGGTATGTAGAATGTTACGTCGTTCTTAGAACTAGAATACATTCGAGATTGATAACTACACTTCGCTGAAGTTGAACAACTGCAGGTATCGTTATCATACCAATATGCATATGTATATCCATTAGCAGAACCGACAGAATATCGGTTAAGGCCATAGTTTGTCTCTTGTGCAGAATATATAGCATCACTTTGAGTCATTTGTCTTATAGTTAAAAGTGATAAAAAGAAGTCGTTTGCCATTGTTGATATCAATTGAGTAATGAAAGAGTCAGCTTGAAGTTCAAATGTTTCTGTAGGAACAACAGATGCGCTAACAAATTGGCTTGAATAGAATTCTGACAAATGATTACCGATTGTTTGATTAACTAAGTCACAAAATGCACGCAACGCTTGAAATGTAGACGTGCTTGTCCATCGAAAATCATCGGAGTACCAATTAGCATATTGCCTAATAGTGAAAAGATAATCAATCCAATTTTGACTAACATAAACACTGTTGCATATTTGATGAAATGTATAGTCGATATGAAGAAACTTGTCGTAACTGATGGATATTTGTGCACAATCACATTTTAATGTTTGCGAATATGTTGAATATAGATTGGAGTATTGTTGATTTGTTGGTGATTTAATATTAACAGTTTGTGTAATATCGATTAACGAAGTATAGAGAAGAAGAATAGCTAATGATAAAGCCAAAAAAATAATGAATAATCTTGTTGAGATACGTTGATTTCGAAGTTTATGTTGATCATTTGTAGGTGGAATCGATGAAAATAAATTGAAATCATTAACAGTTTTCTTGAATTTTTGCCATCTATTATCGCGGGGATTAACAAATTCTGTCACTGAAACATGGCAAAGAGATGAATGTAATGGAAAATCCACGATGTGAGTATTGAGAGGATGACTCAGCTAAGGATGTATCGAGTTCGAGCCTCTCAGGTTCGGTAGGCTTGGGGCTCGGGACTCTGTTAGACTCGAGGCTTGATTAGGCTCGGGCTCAGTTAGACTCGGAGCTCGGTTGGCTCGGGGCTCGGTCAGACTCGGATGTCAGAAACCCACTCCTACATCAATTCTGACACGCGAGCCTGACCAACCTCGAAAGGCTCGGGTTTAGTACAAGCCTAGACTCAACACTCTCAAGAAATACATACTCTGTGTAGTAAGAAGAGATCAACGCTTAGCCGTTTGTGATGCGATGTGCAAAAAAAATCTAAAATTTAAACAAATCAAATATAATATGATGGTATTTTTCGTAAGAACAACATAGAAAGGGTATATTTTCCTTCCATATCTGTTAACCAGCTTACATCCTTCTTCTCAATCTATAATACAATCTCGATAAATAATTTATAATTACCTGATCCTTGAATGTTTAGTAACTACTATATAAGGTTTCAAATAGAATAAGTATAAAATATAATCTATGAACATATTGTTCATTGTTCAAATTCAGCTAATAATTAATATTTTCTTTTTTTTAAAGATGGGGAAACTCAGTTATTTCACAAGTAATTTGTTTAAGTTGAATATAAAAGAAAAGAAAAGAAGAAAGAATAATTATTATTTTACAAATTACTTTTATTTTTTTTTTACTAATGTGTTGACGTCACTAGAAATGCTCATAGAAGTCATTATTTTTGATTGTTGTCAGTAGTAGTGATATACAAAAGACAAGATCTAATTAACAAATAAGAAATATGACATGGAATTAAACCATAACTAAAGTAAATCTTTCATTAATTAAAAGAAAATATATTTAAATTCAAGTCGAAATTAAATCTGATGATTTCATTAGAATCAAGAACACAAGTAACGCTCGTCTGGAGACTCGCCCAGCTCTTTCTCGTAGAATCGATATGACTTTGCTATCGGTGAATCTTTTATTCAAACAACTTCAAATTTGAGTTTCTCAATCCCGATTACCTTTAGTCGACTTTTACCGAAAAGGAACACTTTTCCTTCGACATCATTAATCGATCAATGGATGAAGTACGGACATACGAGCAAGAAAGCAAACAATTTATTTCTGCTAGGCTCTTCTCTACGAGAAAGAAAATAAATGAATGAAATGAGATATATCATAATAAAATTTTTTAAATATATTTTTCTTACGAAATATTTAATAAAAGTTGTGTCATGAGTTTATATCTGAATCTTTTAAATCGTTTCAATTACAAATTACAATTCTATTACTTTATCCTCATCGTTATACATACCAACAAGATAATTTTACCGTCAAGTGAAGTTTCTTTTTTTTTGTTTTTATTCAACTGACAATCAACAACTAAAAATAGGACTTCTTTTATATTAATCATATAATATGTTAGAAAAAATTTTTTTTTGTTTCTAAGATATATTTTTATTAGTAAAGCTCACTTGTTTCTGTAGTTTATTGTTCATTGAAGAACACTTTTTTTTTCTTTAGATAAAAATATCAAATTATTGTTTTTTCTCGAGAGCTTGTTCAATTTTTTATTTATTTTTATAATCTAAACAAAATTTTTCGCAATAAATGATATTTAATAGTCATATAAACATTGATAAATAACAATATATATTGAATTTAATAATAAAATTAGATATCTATCAGTTGAAGTCCTATTTTGAACCTTGATATATTGATGTGAAACGCGTTTTTTCTCCATTCTTTATTGTATACTTCATTATCCTTCAAAAAT